GGAAGGTGAGTTGGGCTGGCATCCTGAGATATTAGCCCTGTTGGCAAACATGGGCAAGAGAAGATCCAAGCAATGGGTGGTGGTTGATGTTAAGGGGTCAAACAAGTATTAGGAAACCATTGAGCAATGGAAATCAGTTCAAAACAATAATTCCACTCAATTCAACATTTATGAAGTCTTCCCTATGTAACTAAATGTTTTAAGATTTCTGAGTTAGGAACAGTCTAGCATGTGGCAGGTATAATTAATGGTTGATTGCTGACCTTAGGCAAGGACAATTAATCTCTGCTCTGGCTTGAGTAACCTGGTTTGGGCAGATAAGACTCACAGTGAGAACTGTGTTGTGGGAGTGGAGAATGGGCATGATAAAGTTCTGCACATGCTGACGATTGAGACCAAAGACAGGGTTCCCGGGAGACCTACACTTGAAATGCTCCATGTGGGTGGGCTATCCTCATTTGTATTCATCTCCCTCTGGTGCTAGATTTCTTTGGTTCTGTGTGCTTCTAAAACAGAATTCCTTCAAATAGATCTGAGGTCTTCAACTAGAGTTTGGATTGGCAGATCCATGTTGTTATAGTTTGGAGCCCTGTGGTGCTTAACGATCATATTATTAAGTTCCATCCTCTTCTCTTGTGTATCCCTCTCCCCACAACCCCCACTGCCTGTGAAGCAGCCATGACTTCTACACACTATGGAATATTATGCACGTGAAAGAAAAGAGCTCCTGTTTTATCCTTTTTATTTATTTTTTTCCTTATGGGTCAACAATTAACCACTTTGGAAGGAGTAGAGCTGAAGTATTCCCATCAGGAATTGGCACTGGGCTTCTGGAAAACTTAGACTCAGCAATATCTTTTATATATTGTGTTTGTCTAGGAATTGGGGTGAGAAAAGCTTGAGTATTAGTTTATCATATGTTTCCAAAGAGTAATTTTATAAATACTAGAAATCTTGCAGGAATAAAAAGGTTTTCAGTAAATGATTAATCTAATAGGTGAGAGATATTTGAGTGAGTGGAGACTAGAATTGGATTCTTTGACCTTCTTTGCATGTAAAACTTTTATTCAGAAGCAATTGTAAAGTTTGGAGATTTGTTCATTTCCAGTATGAAACCTAATATTCGGACTGTATTAGTCCATTTTATGTTGCTATAACAGAATACCTGAGACTGGGTG